TACATGAACTCTGCCTCCATATAAGGTGTTATAAGTTAATAATCTCTTCCGTTAACACTGATCATACATTAACAGTATTCTTATTTCAAGTTTACTAAGAAACTAGACCAAAAATGCTTGGTAGTATTTTGTGTTTTTACAGTGCTCATTCTGAAAGAAGCTCAGAATAGGCAGACCTGACCAGACTAGGAACATATGTTCATTACGTGAAAACATGTTCATGTAATGAACATATTCAGTGTAACCCCATTCCTACCCTAACTTGTTCACGAAGCGTAATGGGTCACCTTTACTTTCCCCTGTCCTTGCAGAGATCTGCTTGCTGACTCGAGGCAGAAGGACAGCCAGCGTGCGAGCAGATAACTACTGCCGGCTGTACTCTCTGTCTGTAGACAACTTCAACGAGGTGCTGGAGGAGTATCCCATGATGAGGAGGGCCTTCGAGGCCGTCGCCCTCGACCGCCTGGACCGCATCGGTGAGCTTTGGAGAATTCTCAGATACAGCTAAATAAAGTAAAATGGTGTCTTTACCTACATGTTATTGAGACATATAAAACAGTTTGTGTTGTATTCCATAGCTACACTGCAAAAACACAAAATCTTACCAAGTATTTTGGTCTAGTTTCTAGTATAATGATCTTAGTGCACTTGGAGTAAGACAAACAAACGTAAAAGTAATTTTTTAGCAAGATATAGAGGCTCATTTTAAGTTAGTTTTGTCTTATTTCAAGTGAACTTAGATATCTGAACTAAAAACTAGACCAAAAATATTTGGTAAGATTTTGTTTTTGCAGTGTATTCACTCACCTCAAATGTTTCCACATTTTTTTAAAGTTACACAAACTTCACTGCAGGGTTCGTATAGGTGCTTGAAATCCTTGAAAGTGTTTGAATTCCAATTCAAACACTTGGAAAGTTGTTTGAATTGGTTAGGAAAGTTCTTGATTTCTGCATAAAGTCTTTGAAAGTGCTTGACTTTTAAACTGCAGTTTTGTAATAAAGTACAATCTAATGCTCGATTAAGAGCCTAAATTTGGAAAGCGTTATTTACAGTAGAAACTAGATATTTTCATACACCTAATAGAAATATATAATTTTTTTTCTCACTGTCTGAAGTCAAATCAGACTAAACTTTTCTTCTTTTAGGTCGGTTAGAATTACCAAAATTATTTCTTTTCTACTTGCTAAATGCCATTTTGATGTTCTTGTTACTTTCTTTGCATATTTAACCATCTAATTTAATTCTGGAGGTCATTTATCTTAGACTTTGTTTGGATTGTTTCAGAGTAATGAATATTTATTATTCCTAGTGGCTCAATGACTTATTGATCTTTGTAATTAAAATAAAGGTTGGGTTTATATTTTATATGTAAAACAAAGTTATTGAAATTGGGTTATTTATTTATTTATTTTTTTGGTTAATTTAGTGTTTTGTTTTTATCTCCAAAGTGAGGTGCTGGAAACCTGCCTTAAAAATATGAAATGTGTTGGTAAAAGTGTACAAACTGGATTTTATTGGGATTTTATGTGATAGACATAAAAAAAAGACATAATTTTCTAAATCTTTTTTACATAAGAAAATCTGAAGAGCAGGTTGTGCTTTTAAGTTCAGCTCCCAATACTTTGTAGAGGCACTTTTTGGTGTAAATACAGCTGGTTTGTCTCCAGCAGCTTTGCTTGTCTCTAGAGTTTTTCTCTCTCTGAGCTAAAACTCAGTAAAATCCCATTAACTTTGTGGCAAAATGTGAAAAAGTTTATTAAGAGTACGAATACTTTGCAAGGCCCTGCGACTCATGGCTCATTCAGCTTGACAATGTCAGACAGAATGAGATTTCTGGATTTTAATTACCGTAGATGTGTGAATAATTAACTGGCATCAGTCATGGTCAGATCCACCTATTTTATTAATGGAACCTGCTTTATGGGTTCTGAGCAGAAAATCCACCATATTTACTGAAAATGAAATGAAGCATAAAACATGTCACTTTAATTTTTGTTGGTAAGCCCAGAAGTAATCATGTTGATATAAATCTAAATCAGTTTTCATTCAAAATAGTAGAAAATGGTGCAGGCCAAAAAGTATTAATACTGTCCTCAACAGTCACTGGAAAAGTCTTTGCAAATGCTTTTTATACACTGCAAAACACAAAATCTCTCCAAGTAATTTGGGTCTAGTTTCTAGTGCAAATGTCACAGTGCACTTGAAATCAGACAAAACTAACTTAAAATTAACCTTTTAGCAAGACATAGAGACTTGTTGTGAGTAAATAATTCCTAATTAATGATGAAAAAGTACTAGTTCTGTTGTAAGATTATTTATCTTACACTGCAAAACATTTTTAACATGTTTATAAGTTAATTCATCTATCATTGGAACCAGTATAACTGGTAAGATTTTGTGTTTTTGCAGTGTAATTGTTGACCAGATTTTTGCATGTTTCCACTGGTATTTTGAAGATGTTTGTATCTTTTGGTGATATTAGACTGATATGTCTAATTAAAAAAACCTCAGACATATTTCTGGTTAATTTCCAAAAACATACTCAAGTAAATGTAACTAGTTACTACCAAACTCTGGTTCATACAACAAAAATGGTGGAAGTTTGTAGATTTCAATTACAGTTGGATGGTGGGTTGGATGAATAGTTGGAATTAAGTTTGGATGGAGTGTTGGTTGGACGGTTGGATGAAGGGTTGGATGGAGGGTTGGTTGGATGGATGGATGAAGTGTTGGATTGTTGGATTTAGGGATGGATGGATGAAGGTTTGGATGGTTGGATGAAGGGTTGGATGGTTGGTTGGATGGATGGATGAAGGGTTGGATGGATGGATGAATCTTTGGATGGTTGGATGAAGGGTTGGATGGATGGATGAAGGGTTGGAGCTCATTTTCATTTATCATGCTATTAATTGATTTATTGCTAATTGCGACGGCCCATAGATTCCCACCCTCCAGTGCAGCTGAACGGTTTCTCCTTCTGTTCTCACAGGAAAGAGGAACTCGATTCTGCAGAATAAAGTCCAGCATCACCAAAGCTCCGGCACATTAAACCTCCACGAAACAGAAATCATCCAAAGAATCGTCCAGCACGACCGGGACATGGCCCAATGCACGCAGCTGATCCAAAGCAGCGCTGCGCAGAGTCTGAACCCCCCCGTCGCTCCGCCGTCCCCTACCCCTCTCATCTGGACGCCGCTGGTCCAGGCACCGCTGCAGGCTGCTGCTGCCACCACGCCACTGGCTCTGGCCTTGGCCCATCACTCCCAGTTGCCTCCCATCCTCTTCCACAGTCCTCTGGTTCCTGGTTCCTCCATGAAGGACCATTCCAGGAGGGTCCACATGGGAGGTACCGCCTCCAGCAGCTTTGGTTCAGTTCCTGGCTCCCCGGTTAGCTCTGCTAAACCCAGATCTGTGGTTGAGGCACCAACGTTGGGGTTCTCTTTGGCGCAGCATCACTCCACTGCGGTTTTATCGCCCACGGTGATGTCGCAGCCCGTCTTTACAAGCAGCCTGCAGCCCACGCCGCAGCCTCTTTACCAGCCTCCTTATTGCGTCCCGGTCTTCCCCTCCTACACCTGCTCCGCTCAGCTCCACCCTCAGCCGTTCCTCGGTGCGATGGCCGCTCCGCCTCAGCCTCTAGGTTTGCTGCAGCAAGGGGTGCCAGGGAAGGTTTCAGGAAGATTTCCAGCCCCAACCATCAGCCCTCTGATCTGCAGCTCGGTGAACCCCATCCTGAGCCAGCTGCAGCAGCCATACCACCCATCTAGCCTCAACAGAGCCACCAGCACATCCAGCAATGTCAACCTCCCACATTTCCCCATCATAACCAGCAGGCACCCGCCGGCCAGGATCAATCCGCAGCTGTCTGCGGCCGGCAGAAGCGGGGTGGCCGCCTCTCTGGCGCAGCACACCCTGGCGGGACTGCAGTCGGTTTTCCTCCCACAGGTTCTCCCTGAGCCCTCGGCCCTCGCCTCCCTGGCGCAGTACGGCTCTGCGGAGGTCTCGCCGTGCTACACGCCGCCTCTCCACAGCCCCGCCACACAGAGACGGACGGTTCACCACGCCGAGCCACCCGGCACCACCAGCTTTCAGAGCTCCACTCTGAGAGAGACAGCAGAGTCCTCGGCGGATCTCTTTACCCAGGAAATAAAGACAATCTCAGGCTCTCACAGCTATTTACACCAGGAAAGGCCTTCGGTGGTAAGCGACTCCTCAGAGAGGGAGGCAGGGGGCTTCCCTTCCCCCATTGTGGTCAACAAACCCTACACCACCATCCCGGGTCAGGGTGCTCCCATCAGTCGGACACAATCAGGGCCTGAGCCTTGGAACCAGCCTGCCGGCGATCAGTCTCCTGCTAAAGTGTTAGACAGTGAACAGAAACAATCCAAGCTTCCCTCCAACTTGTGAGTGTCAGACACACCCTCCTCAACCTGCTGAGCTGCAGAGGAAACCCCTCCATGTTGGCATTTTAAAGGGGACCTATTATGCAAAGTTAACATTTGGCACGTTTTTATGCTTCCATTTGGGTCTCTACTGCTTATAAAAACAGCCCAAGTGCTTTAAAACATCTCACCCAGATATTTTTTGGCAATAAGTTCATGTTTTTTGGAAAACAAGCCGTTTCAAAACCCTTCTGAATGTAATGTGACAAATCAGCCTATTGCCTAACAACCCCAGTGGAATTCAGCCCGTTACCTAGCAACCAAGCAGAGTTCCAGCACGTTTGGTCAGCTGGTTTAATCTCTGTAGAATGGCTACTGGAAATGACAAGTGTTTTGTTGTTGGCTTACCATCCAGAAACCTCTTGCTGCATCCTTGTTGATTGTGCAGGAGGCTCTGCGTCTGCTTTTCAAAGGTGTACGGTTGTATAATTGCACATTTGTTTGCAACCATTTCCACATACGTATGTAAACGTTGAGTTGGGGAGCGTGGCCAGCAGCAGGTTGTTTGGATTTAAAGAGCCAGGCCCTAAATCAGCTCATTCTCCAGAACTAAAATCTAGTCTAAGAATTATTTTGAGGAAAAATGTAATTAACATATCGTAACCTGTTGAAGAAAGCATAATAGGTCACCTTTAAATGTTGAATTCAGTGCTGGGGTGTGTGTGTTGTTTTAATCAGATGAGAGATCACTTTAGTTTTTGTGGATGACGGACAGAAACATATTTTTTCTACTCAACATTTTCATTATGATGATAAAACCCAAAAGTATTAATGGGGTATATATTTAAGACCTGATAAGAAATATCACTTCTTATATATACTATGTTATATTCTAACCTTCCTCTGTGATTTATTTATTTGAAACCTTTTTTTGGTTCCCTTTTTAGCTTCACCTCTTGAGCTGAAAAGAATTACCCACCGCTGTATATTCAGTTTATGATTGAAACCAAAAATGGCTTCCCTCTTGTTAGCATCCTTTTCGGAGAAATGCTGCACACAGTCTGTGCACTTTGCTCGTTTCAGAGATCACTGCAGCGCGAAGGGTTTGGCGGCGGCGTGTCTTCCAAGATAGAAAGCTTTCTCAGCAATATTGCACACCCGAACGGGTCGCACTGATCAGACTGCTTTTAAAAAAAAAACAAAGCAATGAATGTAACAATGTCAGTCTGAGGGGAAGGGAGGGTTTGGGATTTGAAAGTGTGGATGAACATGAACAGACAAAAAAACCCTGAGTTGAGGATTGTGTGCCATGAGCATAGTATGCAATAATCTGTGTTTTTATTTTTATGGGCTTATAAAGGTACTGTGAATTAAAGCACTTGTGTCAAATCAGTAAGATTACTGGTAAATCAATCAATTAATTAGAATATAACAAACAGTGACTCAGTTCAAAAAGAGAAATATATAGATCCATAACACAGAGTGAAACATTTGAACCCTTTGAATTAATTTTGATTATGTCATACAGTTCAGTTTCTGCTATTAATACTCTGACGATATGGAGCAAAAGGTTTACCGTGATATTTTGTGGTAATTATTGGCATATTTATAATAAATTAGCAGTTTTTTGTAGATTTTAGGACTCCTAAAAGTCCTAAAATCCACTGCAAAAACACAAAATCTTACCAAGGATTTCTGCTCTTGTTTCCAGTGCAAATATGTTAGTACACATTAAATAAGATAAATACCTTTTCAGCAAGATATATGAGCTTGTTTTAAGTAAATAATTGCTTACTACTGATTTAAAAAGTTCTAGTTCCACTGGCAGATTATTTCACTCATGTTTTCTCATCTTGTAAGTTAAATAATCTGCCCCTGGAACTAGAACTTTTTAATCAATTTTAAGGGATTATTGAATTAAATTAAGCTTCTACATCTTGCTGAAAAGTTATTTGTATTTTTTTAAGCTTTAGTGTACTAAGATATTAGTACTAGAAACTAGAACAAAAATACGTGGTGAGATTTTGTTTTTGCATTAATTATTCCTATTGATACTCAAGTAAAGCGACTGCATCACTAAGTAGCACAAAATAACTAGATTTATTCAGATTTTTAGATATTTACTGCTATTATAGAACTAACATTGGGAGGAAAAAAGCAAAAGTAACAATCCTAGCATTAGTTTTGTTTTTTTAAGAGTTTTTTCACAGACATCATCATGTTTAGTTTATTTTGATAATAAATCAAATATTCATAATAACCACAAATAGTAAGATAATTGCCCACTCTTACTGCTGAGGTTGTTGTCCAATAAAGTTAATACAATGTATTTATATTTATTTTAGTTCCATGAACACTGCTTGAATAGACGTCGGCTATGTTCTCACTGCAGCCTGAAGTTCTTACCTTAATATCTGACCTTTTCATGCAGTCTGAACAACACGGGTCGGATTTTTTTCGATTGCGACTCAGACCACTTTGGTATCCGATACGTATCCGTTTCAAATGTGGCCTGACATCCAGGTCGCGTTCTTCTGGCCTGAATGTCATCGATACTCGACAAACGTCACTATTCTGCGTCCTGATACGAGCAAGCGGGAAGAAAAACAACAACCATGGCGGACGTTAATCGATATTAAGTTTTTAATGTGTTGGTTTCGGTTGGACAACAACTTAAAATGTGTAAGCTAGGCTCCACCGTTAGCATCCATGTTTACTTCGGCAAACGCAGAGCACTTCTTCTTCGTCTTCTTTTTTTGTGGCGGTTGGCAAAACCGTGCAAAACACTGAGCACGCTCTCTGTGTGTGACGTCATTGCGCCCTCTACTGCGCATGCGGGACACTTTCAGGTCCGTTGCAGATCTCGCTGGAGATCACTTACAAGTGGGATATATTTGGAAATGTGAACAGTCCGATTTGACAAAAAATCGTTATTAGGTCGCTTCAGGTTGCAGTGTGAACGTAGCCTTGGTTTACCACTCTGCATGTGTTTCTTCCATCATTCCTCAAATCGGGAACCACATGCACAGATACAGCATAGTTAAAAAGTTTAGTTTCTTTGGCGATGACCTTTACCCTCCTGGTGAAACTGATTGTATTTTTTTGGTCTAATGTAATTTTCTAACATATTTTGTTTCTTTAGCTGTGAGCCATAATCATCAAACTTAACAGAAATGCATTAAATGCATCGTTGTCTGTGTCATGAATCTATATAAAACATTATTTAACATTTTATAAATTTAAAGTCAGTGGAAACCACTTTTTGATAATAATCTAATTTATTGAGCTCCACCTGTGTGATTTTGGCTTTCGAGTCGTTACAAAAAGGGAACTGATTAAAAACTAAAAGCAATCGAGGATAATCAAACATCTTGAAACCAGCAACGCACTGAGAATGATGTGAATGTTTCTTGCACCAGTCAAAGGGCTACCAGTAGTCACCGGGGCGCGTGATCGACACCGAAACCCTGACGGGTCATATTGCTGCATATTTACCTCTTTCATTGTTTAACGTTTGATTGTAAAATCTGACATCTGCTGCTTTGTGACGCTATGCTGAATCCAAAAGACTGCTTTACGAAACAACAGTGGCATCCTTTTAGTAGTTAATGTGTTTAGCTGATTTGTTTTTCCATCCACCTCCCATCAGCGGGGTTTCACTTTATTTTAAATACATCCAGTGTCGAGGAGTAAAGTTATTGATCTGTTTATTAGTCTATTTCTCATTTTTGTTGCCTTTTTAATCACCAAATCTGATCATTTAATCTCCTGTATATTAGGCACATTTTATTTTAGCTACTGAATTTCATGCAATAAAAAACAGACATATGGTCAAATGATCTTGCGCCGAGCTGTGGGTTTCTTTTTGAAGAGCAGAGTGACGAGGACCAGAGGAAAATCTGATGGAAACGACGGCAGGGAGGGGGAGTCTCAGACTTTAAGCCGGATTATAAATCCAGAACAGCACGGGGTTGTTCGCTGCCAAAATTCAAAATAGCCCGGGTTATAATCTGCCAGACACTCGATACAAAGAAAATTATTTCCCATGTTCACAGAGTCAGAAGTGGTAGATTAGCAAGTAAATAGGTATTTAATTTGGTGCTTCAGAGGTTAATTAGGATAAGATACCATTCAGTTCTTTAGCTTTGATCATTCTGGTCTGAATTCACTCAAACTTTACGTGAGTGGTGGCGAAATATGAGTAAAACAAACACATCTTATCCAACAGTTCCTTTTTATTTATCATGCCAATTAATTTAAAATATTTTATCAACTTAAAGTTCCACATATAACATGGGGAGAGAACAAAACAGGATTTAGACAATAAACTGGACAAATTGGAGGAAGGAATCATGGCGTTACTGAGAATCTGCGTCTGGTAAACCGGTCCAAGATGGAGGGAAGGAGGGCTAAAGGTGAGGGAAGGGTTAATCCAGCTCACGGCACCAGCACCACCCTCATGGTGTTGGTGTAGCCAGAACCGGGGCGCCAGCCGGTCACAACAATGGCCACGTCACCTGACTTGAAGAATTTACGGTATTTACCTGCAAAAAGAAAAAAAAAAGGTGAAAATTATTTTAAGCAGAAGAAAATTATTTCGCTGAACGTTGAAACAAAAGATCACAACATTTCCTGCTCACCAACTTCCAGGGCAAAGTTCACGCGCAGGTCGACGTCCTCGGCCCAGACGTCGTTGGCGGGTTTGGTGTAGAGCACCGGGTAGACGCCGCGGTACAGGTGGGCCTGGCGGGCCGTCATCCCGCTGCGGGTCACGGCGATGATGGGGGCGCGGGGCCGGTACCTGGACAGCAGGTAGGCCGACCTGCAGGGAGCAGGCAGCGGCTCGTTACCTCAGCAGGAGAAACCAAAACCCTGAACACACCGGTGATTCTGGTGGTGGCAGCATCATGTTGTGGTTGTGCTGTTCTTTGTCAAGCTGAGGGTCAAATCCAGCCTGCATTACTGCCCTCTAGACAGGCCACAGACAACAGTGAGCTTAAATATTTGATCAGGTTTTGGGTGTATAGAGCCACATTACTTTAAATATTAAATTTTTAGTAGTATTCGCTGAATTCATGTAATTCATTCTGCCTCAACTGGACATTGATGATTTAATGTTTGTTGTCCCTCTGTTAAACTTCATTCTGGAGAAATGTTTCACCTTCCAGCAGGACAAACCCAAACATTCATCCAGAGCCACAGTAGATGTTCAGACTAAAACCCAGTTGAACATTTATGGTCAGATATTTTCAATTGGTCAAGTCTGAACTTAACTTGAGTGATTCTGCAGAGAAAATGCTCTGAATATTTTTAAAAGGGGAAAGCTGTTAGAGACAGAACCTGCAGGACTTTCTATTAGAGATGCACCGAACCACCTTGAGCTGGAAAACATCCACGAAGCAACACAGAGTTCCTCCCCCACAATGGTGCATGTTTCACTTCCGATTTCGATATCGATATCTGAGGTTTCGTATCGGCCGATCCGATACAGAAAAACAGCTGAATTGATTTAAAACATTTCTTCTTTAAAACATAGATATAAATGTGCTGAATTACTAATTTATTTGGTGATTTAAACACACCAACAGCTTCACAAGTTTGGCCAAACATGTAAAAAACAAATCAACTAATTGTGCAATTTTAGGAGCATAACAGCAGAATTAAAATAAATAATACAGAAACTGAGTAAAACAAAAGGTTGACTACTTTGGTCCAACAGTTAAAATAAACAACAAATCTTTTTTCGAATGGTTCAGAAAGCGCAATAAGGAATTTTAAATATAACGTAAAATAAATAATAAAGTACCAGACTTTGTTAAATATCGGTGCCAGTACAGATGTTGATATCGGATCGGTGCGTCTTTCTAACATTGTTATTTTTAGACGTTTTACCTCTCCACCTTTCTCTGCTTGTTTTAAATTGTCTCTGCTTTTTTCTGCTGCAGAGTGAAAAATCATTGAGCTGGAAAACATCCACGAAGCAACACAAAGTTCCTCCCCCACACTGAAGCAGCCATGAGATCCATTGTTAAAACAGAAAGCTAAAGTATTTAAGCCGCTATAATCATCCGGTGGGTCCATCTGACGCGTCGTCTGTATCACATGTTGAGAGGAATGAACAGGGAGTTAAAATTAACCTGTGAAATGTCAGGGTTCACGTCTCAGAAGGTCACCAGCAGAAAGCAGATTGTGAAAGTTGACACACTTCAGAGGAGCTGAAGGCCGGCGTTAGAAGGAAGCGGAGGCGTCGGGATGGAGAAGTATCGTAACGCAGCAGCCCGAGCGCCTGCAGCGGCGGCGGCGGACCAAAGCGATGACTCAGAGAGCGAAGCGGCGCAGCGCGGCCGTACCTGCCCGTCTTGGTGAGCACAATGATGGCGCTGGCGCAGCACTTGAAGGAAGCCTCCACGGCGCCGACGGCGACAGACTCCGTGGGGTCGCGGGTC